TTTTGCTCACTATTCACCATTTTCCTTTAAAGCGTAGCGTCATGGCGAAATAGTCCACCTCAAAATCTTAACTAATTGTATTGGAACAAGATGTATTATCTTATTGTGGCCTTTATACACGTGAAACATCACTTCCTCTTTTAATTAGCGTGCTGGATATTTAGGAGGTCTGAAAAAAATCCAACAAATTTTGTTCACTTTGTTTTTAAGAGTAATGAACGTAGTGAAGACTCTTATATAGTTCTTTGTAACTTTTATTTGTTCCTGTTTGATAAAAACAGGTATTATGAAAAAATTGTTGGAATCGGGTTTTTTATTTATTTTTTTGAGACTCTTTGGAATTTTTTTTCAGTTTTTTAAAAAATTTAGTTCTCAAAAACTTCTATCGATTTTTGAAAAAAAATCGCCCAATACTCGATGTTTCTTCGTAATTCCCTAGACTCTTTTTATCTTGCCGGACTTTCTACAGCCTTCGAAAAAGTGTGTGTGGGGGGTTTTCAATTAAGCTTTTTAAATCAAATCTCTCGAACTTTTAAATCAAATCTCTCAAGTCTTAATATTCTCGAACTATCACGGGATGATCGAATGATGGGTTGAGAAACAGTGCACAATAAGTATCTGTATATACTATTTGAGGTATTTCTTACTTTTTACCAAATTTTAAGAATAATATTGCGCAAATTGAAAAAATACATCGGAACTTTTTGATTCTGCCGATAATCTAAAGGCAAAGTATTTCCTAGCACTTGGACATCAGAGCTTTTAGCGTATTCATGCTTTGCTTACTGCAGTATGCTCAAATAAGCTCCAGGAGAGCTTATATTGGGGCAGGGACCAATTCAACTGAGACCGAAATTAATCGTCTAGCAGCTTGAACGGATGTGAGACCAAGTGTTAAGTTTATAAGAGGTAGATTTTTTAATGATGCAAAACATCAACGCAGAAATCAAATGAGCGTATCAAAAATCGATTTCATGCAGCTCTTGTTTATCTTGTATGTAATTATCAAAGACGAGTTTGTTAAATTGGTACCTATTTTGGATCTCTTGAATTCTATCGAACAAATGCATCCTATTGAAAAAGTTATACATTTTATCAATCTGAATTGAAGCATATAGTGAATGCCTACACCCCTAAAGTTTTGGAGCTTAGCTTCTCTAAATGATGATCGAAGATTTAGATGATTCTTTTTAAAATGGACAAAATTGAATTTACTAACTCCAGTTAATTGCTTATTGATCTCTTAAAGGGCTCATATAGATGTAACTCGATCACAGTAGCAAACCCATTCTCAACCATCAGTTCATAAACGCTTTCACGGTAACCTTCAAAGAAAATGACTCTGATATATTTTTTGGCGTTTTGACAATTGAACTCAATTTACTTTCATTAGTACACCCATAAACTTAAATACCGTATTGAATGACGGTTTTTAAGGAATTATTGTAATTAAAAAGAAACAGTTCTCTATAGGAAACAGTTCTCATTCTGTACAATAAACCACAAAATCTTGAGAGCTTGTTCAAAACAAAATTGATATGATTCTCAAACGAGAGTCGGTTATCGACACACAAGCCAAGATATTTTACATCATTTAAAATTTTTATTTCTAGACTACTCAGAGAAATTTCTTGTTCATTAATGCATGACACTTTGGAAAAAATGATAATGTTCGTTTTTCACTATTCCGTGTTAAATTATTGATGGACATGCAATTTATTACGGCGCTTAAGTCCATTTTAAGATGACCATTCATTGATCTTCCAATGATAGCTGTGTCATCTGCAAAAAGTATAGGTTTAGTTTTCTTGCAAATCCCACGCAGATCATTTGTGTAGATGAGAAACAGCAATGGGCCGAGCACTGACCCTTGTGGTACTCCCTGTTCAATTTTTAAGAGCGAGAGGCAAACCTTTTATTTCGTATCGCTCGAGCTTACAAAGCAAAAACTGCTGATTTACTGTGTCAAAAGCTTTTTTAAGATAAAAAAACACCGCTCGGCTTTTCTTTGTTCAAGAAGCTTATTTGAGTGTGATTAACCATTTGAGCGATTGCATCAATAGTTGACATTCCATTGCGGTAACGGAATTGTTCCTTACAAAACACCGAGTTTCAGTTTAAAAAATGGGCTAATCTGTCGTAGATTAGCCGTTCGAAAACTGCTTAGTCATGAGCAGCGATATTGGTCTATAATTGTTACTGTTATCTAAGTTGCCACCGTTATGAAGTGCCACTATTTTAGCGACCTTAAAATTATGAGGATATCTTTCTCAATGAATTTATTAAAAATTGGGGCAGTTTATTTGAGATAGAACGGGTTCAATCATTTTAAGAGTGGTGCTTGATATACCATCTGGACCAGAAGAAGGGTTATTCTTCAGGTTACAGATTAAAGTAGATATTTCTGATGAACTTGTTGACTCTAGCCAGAACGAATGGACGCTAGCATTTGGTATGGTTGGTTGAATATTTTTTTATCAAACTGGACTGCAAGTGAATCACCCACCGTAGAGAAAAAATTGTGTAGTTTATTAGCATTTTCCTCGCTTTCTTCGATCTTAGTATTAGGATTCTGATCACCATATAGAAACAGTTTAAAGATCCTAAATAAGCTTTTACTTGTTTTATGCGTTACTCATGTCATTCTTATGAACCTTATGAAATCTGATTCGTTTTAAAATGGCGCTTTTAAGACTTTTGCTTATCCATGGGTTATTCAGTTTTCTTCTTGTTCCATAAGTTTTTAGGCGCATGTGTATCAAACATATCTTTGACTTTTTTACCATATCTGATATTTGTTTATTTAGATCACCGGAAAGACTTTAAGAGCTCAAATTATTCTTTAGTTCTAACAGAAATGCACATTGGTTTTCAGGAATTGAGAGATGTGCTAATGATCTTTTCTTATACATATGATTTTTTTCGGGCAAAGGAATTTTTATATCTACTTAAAGAGGATTATGATCTGATATATCTCAGTGCAAAAATTCTACTTTAATTTCAAAGTTACTTATTACTTCAATAGAGGTAGATGAAAATGTAGGTTGTCTGGTAATAAGATTTTCTGTTTAAATTGAATATATATACGATTCGAGTAATTCTATGTACTGTATGGATTCGTTCGACACTCGTTTGACATCTATGTTAGAATCTCCAATATAGATTTTCTGTTGCTAAGATATCTTTCTATTTTCATTAGAAGCTCGTTTGATCATTTTGTGGGGTGTTGTAAACGCAAATTAACCGATGAGAATTTTTTTTATTGAAATCCACGTCAATTCCAATCGCCTCCATTCGATCAATTTCAAAAGAAGAGAACTTGAGATTTTTGCTAACATAGATGGCGACACCGCTCCCCCTGTTTTCTCTATTTTCTACAACTGGAGGGTAGAATTTCTCAATATCAAAAGATTTTACGTCATCACTATCGCAAAGCCAAGTCTCAGTTAGAGCTATCAAACCGGGAGGGTATTGTTATGTACTTATAAACGCTTTCAGCTCTTAAGGCAACTAAGAGAACGATACAAAATATAAAGTAAAAGATGATTGAATCTCACTCATTTTCAACAGTAAAAGCACTAGTAGGGGTTGAATTGATGTTCTGCTTCTTGCTTTCGTTGGAGCTGTATTTCTCCAGTTCAGTTTCTAATATTCCCGATCTTTCTTCGTCATTTGCCCCTCTTAGCCTTTTTGGAACGATTTGTGTTCATCAGTTAGTTGCCACCTGCTTTGAATCATTCTTCGGTCTCTGTAATTTGAAGATTTGATTTCTGGGAGCTCTTTTTATTGCACGGTTTTTCAGATCTTGTAAAGCTCTTTCATTGTTAAATAGGACTGATAATGGCTTGTTTTCGCCATTCTAGCAGAATCTTTTTTTACTTGACAGTTGTTAGTTGGAGTGATAAAGCCCATATCGTGGGCTTTTCTCTGAATATCTGCATCACGCTTTGGTAAACGTTCATGGATAAAGATGGGCTTTTTGTTGTTAAAATTCAGGTTTTCGGTACGTCCATGAAGTTGCCTGCGGTGGTATACGGGGTTTTGTCGTCAGAATAAACGAATTTGGCTACCACAGTGGGTGGATAGAGACTGTTGCCTTTGTTGATGGGATGACATACCTTGATATCACAGGGTTTAACCTTGATCTGAAGACACTTGTCGAGGAATTCGCAGATGCTGTAGCGAACATTGTTCAAATCAAACGGTGCATTTTCAAATATAATACAATCTTTCGAGCTATAGCGTCCTTGTTCGCATAATCTCTCCTCTAAGCTCGTCACTTCGTTTTTCAATTTCACAATTTCCTCAGTTTGGTTGCTGATCGGTCGCTATTTTGCTTTAAATCATCAATTATCAGGTTTAGGATAGATTTAAATGAGACGTCGCAGTCTGAAGAGTTAGCTTTCGTCATCATCTCTTAGACAAGACCAGTATGCGTTTCTGCAATCTGAAACTATTTGATAGTTTTATCACAACCATTAGGCTATTTAATAAGGTTATCACAACAATATATAGAAATTTTGTGTGTAAATGAGCTCAACGAAAGAATTGACTTCTCTTTTATTCAGTTTTTGTGTACAAAATAGTGAAAATGGGTACACAGTCATGCTTCTGTCACTAAATGGCCATGTCGAAATGCTCATCCAGTTTTTTCAGAACCACGATATGTAACATTATGGCGCTCTGGTAATGATGGTGCTCAGCAATCATATGATTGCTGGTTCAAATCGTACGTGTGGTACAATTTCTATGATGAGCTCTTGCAAGTAAGTCATAGCTTAAAGGGCGCTGAATATATGTCAACCTGAATAATTAATTGCAAATTTTGTTTTAAAAAGCACGCGATAACACGTAAATAAAGCTAGCAAATTTTTTATACGGCCCCGTAATTATGATAAAACTCTATCAGAATTATGCCTGATACTTCATTTAGGTGGAACAGTTTCTCTTACAGGAACATTGTATTGTGTTCAACAAAGTTTGAGAAAAAAGGGAACTTTTAGAATAATGAATGATGAAATTGGATATTGCTCTCAGTTCAGTTCTAAGATCAGACCTCTTCTGGACCAGTATGATATAATTAGACACCACCTGGTGGATGATCCCGATCTGCATCCGACATCGATTGTTGTAATCGGGGATCAGAGTTCGGGCAAGTCTAGTGTACTAGAGAGCTTAGTGCAAATTGGGCTTCCGAGAGGAGAAAATATTGTGACCCGTATGCCTATCGTACTCCAATGCAGGAGTCTGAGAACAACTAATGTCAAAGATTTTCCTCATGCCAAGGTTGGTTCTAATTCATTTCCGATCTCACTCTATAACTCGCATCAGCCACGGGATGTTTGCGCTTTCTCCCCAATATTTTGCATTCGTTTTAGGCATAGAACATAATAAACCAAGTATAGATAAGTTAAAAATAAAAAGCCGACCATTCATAGGGATGCCCAAAATCGATCACGGGAGGCCCAAATAGTCCACGGGTTGCCCAATATCAGAAATAAGAAAGAAGTGTCTTGTAACCGGAAACCAGAGTTTTTCCCCATAGAAAAGTTTTCCTACAAATTTAACCTGCTTTTTAGCTTGCCTTTATACCCTAAGGTCTGGGATCCGCAGCAAGGCCGGACTTTGCATTTTTTCAGTATGTATCTACGTTTAAAAAATTAGCGGGAATGATTGAATAGTCGGACTTTCGTTTGTCTGCGAATGTTTTGTCGACTTACTTGCCAAACCGGAGAATTTTTTTTGTCAGTAGTTTTCATCTTAAATGCAAGAGCTGTTGATTTAATCCTGTAATTTGTACAATAAATAGCCCTGACATTGTATAATTTATTTTTTTTCTTCTAAAAGGCTTTGTTCGGCCTTTATCATTTCTGCTTTTGTTTTATCGGCGTAGTTATCTTATTTTATGTAGCTTCAGAGGCAAAAACTGATTGATTGTTGTTTTTTTGAAAAATTAAGGTTTGTATTATTATATTTCTAGGTTTTAAAACTTAATTTCTCGAAAATTTCTTTGACAAATACTTATGGCAGTTTTTGTTTTCAGTTCAATGGGCGTCAACTTTTTTTTGACGGCTTAGTGGCCGCTCGGTGATTACTAGAAGTATATTTGATACTAGTGGCTGTTTTTCTGAAAAGTAATTCATTTTTCCGGCAAGAAAATTTTTTTTTGTTCCGATTTTAGTATTTCCGTCTTCTTTTCTATTCACTAGCTTGCAATGCTGCGCTTGCGTTGTATCGCAAGTGATGCGAAGGTCCGCGTAGCCTCTGTGCTATATCATATGCAATCGTTTTTGGGAACGTTAGGCTCTTTAAATTCAGGGTGCAGATAGATGTTAAAAACATTTTGTGAGGACCAACCAGGAATGTATTTAGATCTCAATTAGTTCGCCAAATGATGAGCGGAGTTTTACTCTCACAGACTTTTCCCAAATCGAGCAGACAATTCAGACCTGTCAGGCAACGGTGTTCCAGTCATCTCTTTCCTCCTCGTCCAGTGGGGGAAATGGAGGAGGCAACTCTAAAAATGTGATATCCGATGTGCCCATCTACGTGCAAGTGGTGAAGGAAGGCATCCCTGACGTCACATTGGTAGACTTGCCCGGGATAAATTATGCAAACGAGGTAATCAAAAGTAAGTGTACTGTGAACACAACTGCGTTGATGATTTGATTGAAATGCTTATGAACCTCATACAACATGAAAAGCTGTTGCGTTGTGCTTGAAATTTCTTGCTTTAAAGTGCTTGAATGATCTTATGAGATGAGACGTACTCATCAAATACCAATACGAAGACTCGATGTTATGCCAAAGCTAATAGTCTTCTGTTTCAGACAGCATCAAGAGTCTTTATGAGAAGTATATTTCACCAGACAATGTGATCATCCTGAATGTCATATCGGCAGTCACCGACATCCACGCCAACGAATCGGTTCTATTCGCGCACAAGGAAAGTATTGACATACTCCAAGTTTCGTATCTCCCAATTTTAAGCATAATCCAGTTTATTATCCTAAGTTTTCCCTCAATAGTCAAGTTATGATTTAATTGTCTGAATTTGGTGGTCATTGCTTTCAGTTTTTTGGCTTCACCGTCTTAGTTATTAATTTTAACTTAATATTTTTATTCATGTACACATTTAACCTGTCTAAATTCTGGTCCAATATTTCCAGGTAGATCCACTGGAGCGCAGGACTATATCTGTGCTTACAAAATTAGATAAGTGCTCGGAGGGTGACTTGAAGTCCAAGTTGTCCGACTTGAAAACATCTGGGGCCAGATTTGTGCTGGTGAGAAATAGAACCAGCGATGAAATCATGCAGAATATACCCTTCGATCGGATCAGGTGAAATGAATGATTAATGTGAGCTGTGGCCATTAAGTGCTGAGCGCTCAACGTTTGAGGACGAATTTTTGCTTTGTTGTTTACCTGATAGAAAATTTTCAGGGAAGTAGAGGCAGAATGCTTGTCGAAATGGAATGAAGTTGATGAAACCTCCAAGGGAATTCCGGCTCTATCCCAAATTCTAGTCAGCGAAGGTTACAAAATGGTGCTTCAATCAGTTTCGCATCTCTCAACGCAAGTGCCGAGTGTGCTTTCGGAACTAAGCGAGAGTTTAATAGCCCTTGGACAGCCGTGCGAAACAGAAATGGAGAAAAAGTCTAGATTTGACGACATCTCTCGTCTCATGGGTACACGACTCCGACAACTACTAGACGGGTTGTCGCGGTATGATGATCCGAATGAGATGTTTCTCAATTCCAACACACAACTGTTGCTGAATAATTACCGCAATTTGTTTTTCGATACTCAGAAGAAAATTTTTACCAGCGAAGTCAAATCTCAGATAAAACAATCGCTGTGTAAGTCACATGAATTTGACCAAAGCTGTTTAGTCTTCAAATTAATCTCAGGTCCTCAACTATTTGAGCGTAGTAAATTGAGTACTTTAGTTGAAGAGTCGATGAACGCAGTTGTGATCCCGATGGTTTTTTGAGGACAAGTTAAAATTTTTTCAGGCTCAAATTTACTTTTTTGCTATTTGAATTTTGATTTTTTATTTACTTCAGTTCATTTCCCTTGTTAAAATGAAGGCAAACTCCACTATCGAACAGCAAAAGCGTAAAGGTCAGGAAAAATGTGATCGACTTTATCGAAAGTCGATTTTAGTGTTCAGATTTTCCAGTAGAATTAAACATGTATCCATTGATCCAGTTTTCTGAAATTGAGTTGTTCTTTCGAAAAAGTCAATCATAAATTGTTCTAGATTTTCGGACAGCTTTAAGACTATCTTTTTTATTCGAATGTTTAGGTTTATCTGTTTATTTGCGTTTATTGACTTTTCCGACTGTCTGTTGGCTATGTTCATTTTTCCTCTACAAATGATTGTTCTGAAAAATTTTAAAATTAATCCCCTTCAAATTTAATTTTCGCGTTTGAAAATTTGATTTCTTCTTCAACCAATTCATTTGGTAAAAGGAAGTGAAATTACGCTCTCCAAGTGCAAGTGGCCCGAAAAGACCTGAATGATTTTAGTTTCGTAATAAGAATTTTCTTCTAGCATGAAATTTTTACTCAAAGTTCGAACACATGCGCAGCTTAGTGTATTATTACGAAGAATTTTTTTCTAGCCTAAGTCGCAAATAAAAGTGATCAATTGGTGGCCCTTTTGGTATAAGTCAATTTAATAATTTAAGCCTTATTAAGTATAGGTAATTTAATAGCATATGTTGTTGCTTTTTGTGGCTAGTGTTAGGTCCTGTTTGAAAAAAGCAGGAATTATGAAAATGCGTGGATTTGTTGTTGTTTTTTGTGACGCTTTGAAAAATTGTGGCACTTTTTGCTGAAATTTCAGTTTTTCTCAAACACCACTGTACCGTTTTTCAAAAAATGGTACCAATGGACAAACCGGCCGCTCTTTAATGTGCCTGCATATTTTGCTAGTCTCTTTTCATTTTACCCCACGTTCTACGGCCTTTGAAAATATCTGTAGGGGGTTTTTTCACCTATTTGTTTTGCATTTTTTCATTTTCTCGAATATCAAATGCACAAATCTGAGATCAAGGTTTCAATTAAAAGAACAAAACACTGGGACTTCCTCTGCCTAAGCCGTTTTTTCCCTAATTTTGGGTAGGAAAAAAGGCCTTTTTGTTATTACCGGTTTTTTGGCAATTTTTTGTCCATATTTTGGAACCTTTGTTTTCTTCAAAAAATAACTTGTTGAATTTGAGGTTGATAGTTCATTCAAGCCAACATAGTGCTTAGGTTTTCCCTGCGTAACCTGTTTCACCCTATTTTTTTTTTTGTAGAATCGTCGATATGGACTTCGGGAAAATCAATGTTTTGAAGTTTATACCGTTTTTTATAGATTTTTTCAACACTATTTTCAAAAATTAGTAGCTAAATCTGATATAATGAGTGCATTCTAAAAACCAGGTCTTGAAAATTTTTCCTACATAAGAGCCTATTCCCATGCTTTTGTAGAGAAACTTTAATAGATTTAGGAAATGTCAAATTTTTGTTCGTTTTGTGGAATCTTTTTCACTTTTTTTCTGAACTACCCAGCCAAGTCTGACATATATAACTCAATTGAACGAGCGAATAGTAATTTTCTCCTTTAAATAGCAGATAATCTCCTACTTAAGCAGAGAAATCACTTGAGTTTTGCGTATATTCCATTTCTGTATCAGCACAACATATGATTAAACATATTAAAACAGGTACATTCAGCATTAGCTGGGCCACTAATTTAGTTCCAAGTGACCGTTGTGCAGATGCGAGGACGTGATTGACACTCTCTATTATCAGGTGGGAGACTCAAATCCGGACATTGAAAAAGTTGGATTTTTTTGCTCAAATTTTTGCTCCTTCATTGGTGGCTAGTGTTAATAAAATTACAAGTGGTCGTGGAGCAGATGTGAGGACGTGATACTCCTTTTGTCAAAATTGCTATTCAAAGTTTTTTCTCATGGTGTAATTTTATCCATTTACCTTATTTGTTTTTGTTTTGCCTGTTTAAAGCTCTTTTTTGGATTTTCCTCGCTTGTGTTTGGGAAGCGTGTAGAAATGTAGAACAGTAAGCTCAAAGAACTAATTTTAGTGTTTAATAATGATGTCTGCATTAAGTTTCAAGTCAACTATTTTTTTTGGTAGATTTTGGTATGACTAAGAGTAATGATTGTAGTGAAAACTCTTATATAGGTCTTGGTGATTTTTTCGCTTTTTTAGGAAAAAAGTCTTGAAATGCTCTAATAACTTCTGATGTGCATTCATACAAATTTTTGCATTTATGAATGCACGTAGATATATATGCACTTTTTGAGTTCAATTGAAATTGATCTGCTGAAAATTACGTAAAAAGCACTCTCCGTATACGGACGTGGAAATGGCGCGAGTTTCGAAAGTGGAATTTAGTTTTCCGATTTCCAGCGGAATAAAAACTGTACCCTTTGATCCAGTTTTCTCAAGTAGGGTTGATATTATTTAAAAAGTTTCAATCATATTTTGTTCTAGAAATTCAAAGAGCTTAAAGGGCATCTATTTTTTTCTTTGAAATTCGGAAGTTCAAAATTTTTCGACAAAGTCATTGTTTGTTGCGTTCATTACTCTTTTCCAACTTTTATAACGAGAATTGATGCAAAATTGCGGAGTCCCCTGATATCTTTGAATCCATTTCTGCAATGAAAAACGCCTTTCGCCTTTTTGTCCAAAAATATTATTCATACCCCCCGGTAATTTTTGACCCTCGCAAATTAAGTTCTGCAGAGTATTCTGACTTTTGTTTCAGCAAAAACAGTTGGAATCAATTTACCGAACTTTTTGTCGCATCCTGTGTTCAAATTGATGCTGGACCGCCTTTTGATGAATTCGGAATTGTACAAACTGACAACCCATGACTTATTATTAGGAAATTTCGAACCTAAAAGCTATCCGTTGACTTCAAACCAAAATTCTGGTTTAATGCAGTACATATCAGTGGTGATTGACTCGCTTTTAATCGAAGCTCTACAAGAGCGAAGGCTTTCTGAAAAGTTTGAGAAGAGACTTAGCAAAGATATGCTGACCATGCTGCGCAAACTGGGTGCGGAAACCAGCCAATTTTTGAAGCAGTTGATAGACGCTGAGTTAATTGCGGGCCCCTACACTGCAGACAGTTCATATATTGCTACAATTCAGAGAATAGAAGACCAAATAAAAGCGATGAAGGATAAGGACAAATCGACAGAATCCATGGGACTCGGGAGTGGGATGCAAACAGTGTGTTGTACTTTATGTTCGGTTTAGACATAAAATGAACCCTATTTTTATCATTTAGTTATTTCGAATGTCACAAACACTTTATTTCTGGTAGCGATGAATCTGTTAGTAATGAATGTTAGTAATGAATCAACAAATTTTTGTTTTTGATCGGTTTGCTGTTATTTTTTTTTGGAAAAAAAATAAACTTTTTTGAGATTTTGCATGCAATTTGAATTGAAAACTAGGTTACTTTTTGCTGTTTTTAACGCAATTTACAATAAGAGAAATTCTACATAAACTACAAAACATTGAAAACAATAGACTAGTGCAATGCCGAGTCTGTTCGGAGGCGGGGCCAAGACAGCCACTCAAACAGCGAAGTCTTCCACTCCGGGGAGAGGCCAGAAATCGGGTTCAGTCTATCTGGCTGATGATTTTTCAGTTGACTTGTCTGAGCTGGACGGGGTCTTGTCGGATAATCCTTCTGTGGAAAGTGTGGCTGTTTTCCAGATGCAAGTCAGGTAAAAAAAAATAAAAAAACCTTTAACTTCCTTGAAACTTCAACTTTCAAAAACGATAAATATTTAGCATGCGGTAGTAATAAGTACAAATAATAAGTCCTTGGGCTGCTTACGATTGCGTATCTTTAGAGATGGCTGGCATACCATCGAAATTTCCTGGGTTGGTGTATCGTTCGAACTCTTTCTCTCATGGAGTCCCTCTATTTTGATATAATTGAAGACTAGATCAATGCTTTTTATTAAAATCTTGGGATGTAGTGAGCATTGGGCGCTGAGTAGTTTATAGTTAGAAAATGATTTGAAATGACTATTAAGCCGGGAAACTGGAAGAAATTCAAGTGTGATGAAGTTCAAGTTTTTAATTATGAAGATGCATCAAAGAAAATGTTAATTTTCGAAGGTTTTGAAATAAGAGGTGAAACAAAATTTGGAATGGAGAATATTTTTCGAAAGTGACAAATTGTCGCGAGAGAAGATTTGCTGCTTTTTTGAGAGCGGCTCTTCGAACCAGGCGACAATTCGTATCACGTGCGGATTCAGCGGCAAAACATCTGTGTAAATCAAAGAAAGTGAGACAAAAAATATAAGTTTACGAAAAGAGATTAAAATCGAGAGAATCGCTCGAATAATACTTGAACAGCTCGACCAATGTTGATTGTATTTTCTGATTATTGGGAGGCACCATCTCCGGCATTTGTTTTTGCAAGTATGTTTTGCAAGTATGATTTTATGCATGTAATTATCAAAAGGGGCTCGTTTTGTTCGCAAATCTTGCTAGAATAAGCACTGATGTCATTTTTGAAATTTGGCTTACTATAAGTCCAAGAGTTACCCAAGGAGAAGGAGTGTTTGTGCTTTTCTATCTTGGTGGCGCCAATCTCAGCTCCTGTTTTTCGCGTCAACTGGCTGAGGCAGAACGAACAAAGCAGCCCTTAATAGTTGCTCTGTTGAACACATTTTCGGAAAATTTGTGATTTATGCCAACGCCAATTAACTTTTTTTAAAATTTATTTCTGGTCAAAATAGTTTTGAGATTTTTATAGCTATTTAGAATAAAAAATTTAATCAAAAAAAATCTGCAAAAAAATTGAGTTAATTTTGAATTTTTTGTTTTTCTTTGTTGATTTTTTTGTTTTTCTAGTAACTTCTCTCAAAAACTGTTGTCCTGTTTGCCTATGTTAGTATGACAGTCGAATATGCCTAAATTTTAATTTTACGTCAGATCTTTTATCGCACCATGCAGAAAAAACTATGCTAGTTTGGGAAAAAAATTGTAGATTTTTGAAGACTATGGTCGGAACATTCTGTGCTACTTGCACAGTAACCAGCTATCCTTGTATTATTTAAATTATTGTTTTTTCTTCTTAAATAGCACAAGAGAAGTAAGGCTATAGCAAAACTGTGTGATGCCTGTAGATGTCCTGGACTGCACGAGCGCTACACTGTTCAATTTAAAGTTTCGAAAGTTGAATTTAATTATTGAATTTCCCAGCAAAACAAAAGTTTTACCTATTGATCCAGTTAAAAAAACGACATAAAATATGAAAAGCAATATTTGATCAGCATAAAAAATTTCAAAAAGTTGTCCCAGTGCCGAGAAAAACTCGTAGAAAGTTTTTTGTTTTTAGTTCAATTTCGAGCTAGTTAAGCGGTCGATTTATGAGCGATATTTGAAATTTTATTGCACGAGTCGTCGCTTGTGACGAATATTTGCTTGCGAGTTGTGGAGCTTCTTTTCAAAACTTACGCTCAGTAACAGTGCCAGAATTGTTTTAAGCTTTCGAAAAGGTTCTCTTCACTGATGTGTGTTTGCGTGAAATTGTTCTTAAATTGTAGTAACGTGTGTGAAATGTTTCTCAGTCATTTCGGCCTTCGTCATCGAAAAAGTACGATTTACTGATTATTTTTTATGTTTTTTTTCAATTTGGTTTAACGGTTTGGGTAGTGATATTGTGTCGGCCACATGAAACTGAGTTATTCTAACATAACAGTGTACTATTCCGTTCTAGTCTGTTCGCTTACTGGTCGGTCTTGCAGAGACGTCTTACAGACCACGTGCATCTAGTAGTTAGAAGTGGGGTGTGTCATCAATTGAAGAACTGGGAACAACTCATGCAGCAGTTATGGAGAGAAAATAGCACGCAATACCTGCACTTACTGCAGGAGAGAGCTGAAGTGCAAGAAAAGAGGTCAATTTTGCAGCAGAGGATTATGAATTTGAAGAAGGCATCGGAGATTCTAGAAAATATGGGCGCAGAATTGTCGGACTGAATCATAACATATCCGGTGCACTCTTGTGGTCGTGCAGTCGTAAAACCATTATTGATTGGAATTGGCCTTGTTTTTTGTTTCTAAAGGAGTACATTAAAAGTGTTAGATTCGACTGATTTTTTTGTGTAAATAATGCGAGGCGGCATGTAAAATTGTCTTTGAATATCGTAATTTAATATTTCACTTATTGTTTTTTGTTCATAAATGAGCGAACGCAACACAGATAGAAGTTAAGAAATGACCCGAAGAATAGAAGATAAAGCAGTTGTCATCCATAAAAATAATTTCAGGTGAATGAAAATATAAAATAGTAAAGTTTGATGAGCTTTTGGGCTTGAAATTTGGGAGAGTATGCGCCGCTTAGACAGTGAGTTTTATCTGTCGAAATTAACAGCGCTTGACAACTAATGATAATAAATTTCTTACTAAACTTCATTGATAAAGTTGTTTTTCTCGACTAATTTGTTTTGATGAGTTTTAAGTGGGAGCGGGTTGGCAAAGCCATGAGTATTTGTCTTCTATTTTTGGAAAGCGACGATGAATTGTTACGTCTCCGCCTCACAATCGATTGTTTGGACGTTCGAGGGTCACCATGATCCGTGTTCGTTGCTTTTGAGTGTGAGGCAACATTACCCAGCCCAGAAAAATAGCCAAAATAATTTGTATGTAATTCTTAAGCAGGGGAGCAACAGCGGTTCTCCATGAAGATTAGAACAGCTCGTATGTTGGTTCCTTCCCCTGTGAATAAATAGTCCTAATCTCTTATTTTGATAAATTTGAGAATATCAGTGGTTAATTTTTAAGAATAATGAACGTAGTGAAGACTCTTATATAGGTCTTGCTGATTGTTTTTTTTTTTTTTCAGGAAAAGTCTTAAAAGTCTCCAATAACTACAGATGTGCATTCATACATATTGATGCATTTATTAATGCACTTAGGTATATATGCGCTTTTTGAGTTCAATTGAAATTAATCTACTGAAAGTGACGTAAAAACGCTCTCTAAATACGAAAGTGGAAATGGCTCGAAAAAACGTGAACGATTTCTAGTTTCAAAAGTGGAATTTAATTTTTTAGATATCCAGCGGAATAAAAACTTTTTTCTAGTTGGGTTCATGTTATCAAAAAATTGCCGATCATAAATTGTTCTGGAAATTCAAAGAGCTTAAAGGGCATGTATTTTCTTCTTTGTAATTCGAAAGATGAGATTTTTTCAAGAACGTCAGTGTTTTTTTTATGTTGACTTGCGTTCACTACTCTTTTCCAATCTTCGATTGGCTATGTGTATAATTAAGGAAATCAGTTAAGCTTGGATTAGTAAGCGTTATCGAATATAAAAAGGCTCTTCAAGTAGCACGTAATCGCCTTCCGACTAAAGTTTTTTCTGTTTGAGCGTCGATAAAAATTGAAAAAGGAAAAAGTATATAGTTTTTGGTTTGGGCAATCATTGTCTCAAATGAAATGTTGAATAACAGTTTTGGTCTTAGCTTGAATCTTAATACCAAACTTTGCTGCCTGACTACTTTTATAATAAATAAAAGAAACCTATATTTAAGTGTTAATGAAGGAATTAAATTTTCAGCGTTTGTATATACAGCCGTGCTTCTTCTGTTTGTTCGTTTTTTTTTCACGCTCAAATTGATGCTTTGATGTGAATTTAATAATTCAAAAAATTTTGTCGACCTTTGTTAGGGTCAAACAAATTGATCTTCCGAGCTCTTCCAAGGCCCTTTTCTTCTCAATTTTCTCCGCTGCAGGCAATTTGTTGAAAAACACGCCCAAATTGGACGTAAGGGACCCGAAAAATTGCGTTTTTTCGGCGAGCTCACCCTCCCCCCCTGAAAAGGTTTTTGCGTTGGCGCCTTAAGAAAAACTTGATGGTCGTTCAGCCAAATTTGGAAGTATTAAATTAGTACCAAAGGGGGACCCTTTTGGGTGGGCAATGGTCAAATACCTGAAAGTGGGCCTGCGCCCCTCCTGAATCCACTACACTACTGTTATTAAGTTCAAAATTGATCCCGTGTGTTAAATTAGGTTAGTTTCTGGAAAAAATCCCGTAGATGGCTATATGGGTTTAAAGTGAAAGTTTATTCATATATTCTGTTGGAATATAAATCCCCATGCTCCTTTTTTTATTGTGCTTTTCAAATGCAGATTCGCTTAGTTTGAAACTATCGAATTAATTTTCTAAAACAGCGCGTTGTTCATTAACACTAAGTGCTCGCATCAATTAAATACTACTTTTTCATGAGCTTCTGATGTTTCATAATCTTGAAGGCTTATAATGAACGTCGAGGTTTTCTAAAAAAAATAAAATCAAACCGCTGAAAGCTTAGCTTGGTCAATGTTCTAAATGTCCTGATCAACCCTACTGACTCATTCAATTAAAAACCTCTTCGTTTATCAGCACTTCGGAGTTATAAAATTGTTTTGATAAAATTGAAATTTTACGACTGCAGAATTCAAATGAACGATACTGAATCCACTACTGTAATTATGCGTCTAAATCGATTTAGTGTTCTCTCCTTGCTTTAGTTCTAGGAAAAAATCCCGTGGGTGTCAGAATGGTTCAAAGTTTATTCGCATATTTTCTTGGTTTTTAAAGCTCTATGTTACTTTTTTTGTGCTTAAGTGCAGCTTCGCTTTTGTAAAGGCATAGGTCATTTTCTAAAACAGGGACTAGTTCAGTAAGGCTATGTCTTTGTAGAATGGCATCAGATAAGTACTACTTTTTTCATGAGAGGCTGGTGTTTTTTAATCGTAAAGCCCTAATATTAACGTTGAGCTTTTCTAGAAAACAAAGTCAAGCCGCTAAAAAGTTAGCTCGGTCTGTTTAAAATATGTCTTGAAAAACTCTACCGCCTCTCTGAATGAAAAATTTCTTTCTTCATTAACATTTTGTTTTAAAAAATTGTTTTTGCAAAAATATGGTTTTAAAGAATACATAATCTCACTGGACCTTGTGCGGATCTACGATTATCGCAAAAAGGTCTAATTTTACTGTCGATTTTTTCAAGTAAATCCAATTGGCTTTTTAAAATCTCCGTTTCTGAAAAATCAGTTTTTGCTGAAAAGGTTGAGCCGTCTGTCAATTTCATGAAAAAAAAAGTTGTTTTTTCACTGTTTAATCATTAAATTGCGTTTTTTTTGCGCTCTTCAAATGAAACTTGATATTTTAGAGTTAATTCTGCAGTACATATCTTCGTTCATCGGCGCTTAGTAGTTAAATAGTGTTTTGAGAAAGTTAAACTTCTACGACTGCAGAAATTCTTTGAACCATTTGCGGATTTAGCATTTTTGCAAAGGAGTCAGATTTTTTTCGTCGATTTTTGCAGGTAGATTAATATTGATTTTTCAAAATCTCGCTGTCTTCGCAAAATCAATTTAGCATAAAAATATCCAATTTTGTCGAGACATCGACAAATTTAAAATTTTGGTTAACCTAGTTTTTTCATAACTTCTATCACTTCTCTCGGCTTCTTATTTTTTAAAGTTTTCGTTGCATCATAAGTGGTGCGAAGCTGTGCTTCGCCTTTGTGTATATTTTACTCAGCAATTCGTAATTCGAGGGGAGTTCCCGCAAATTTGGATCAATTCTGGCGAAAAATTTTTTGAGCCTTAAAATTGGCATAAACTTCAAGTAAGTTATTCCAGGAGACAATTTTATTGCGTTGATAAAACAGATAATTTTTTATAACGGGGTATAAGTTTATGGTATAAAAAACCCGGAGGGGGCCATTCAGAACCCCAAAGTTTATGAAAAGTCGATTTGTGTTGCGGGGGTCCCGACAAATAAGTAGTGCAGAATATTAGGCCAAATTGGGATAGGAATAATAGAATATAACTTGCCATCCAGTATTGTGGAAAGCGTTCTCATCCCCTCAGAAGTGCACACTCGCTTGCCCGAGTATCTATCTATAGACTTCGGACTCTATTGTCGATAATAAATAAGCAAAATATGGTCTCCGTTTAACAACTCCGTTTTCTCTAATTGCTTCAACTGTCTAAATTTTTTTCATTGTATTTTACTAAGACTCTTATTTTGTCAGCTCTTTCAAGATCGGTAGAATATCAAATCAATTAGCTTATTGCAAATGCCAGTTTGCCCATGATTGCGTCCTGAATCATGATAGCACTATAGCGTTCTTAACACGCAGAAGTCTGCATTCGCTTCAAAACCTTGCGGAAGGAATTATAGCGCACTGCGTTTTGTTTTACAATACTGTCATCATCGACTTGAAGATACGCTACCAGGAAAGGTGCCAAACCGTTTGAGTGTTGTGTCCTCGTTTTTTATTAAGAGTAATGAACGTAGTGACTACTCTTATATAGGTCTTGCTGATTTTTTTTTCAGGGTTTTTCGCGGTTTGACATGTGGTTTTTTTAAGTGCAGAAAATTTCCTCTGTTAAAAGGAAGGCAAACTCCACTATCGAACAGCAAAAGTGTAAAGGTCGACTTCTGATTTCGAAAATGGAAATTAATTATCAGTTTTCCCAGCGAAATAAAAGTTATACGCATTGATTCAGTTTTCTCAAATTGGGTTAGTGTTTACAAAAAAGTGCCCATCTTAAGTTCTACAAGATCAAAGTTTTAAGGCCATCTTTTTTCTTCGAAGTTCAAAAGTTGAAGGATCTTGAAAAAACAAGTCACTTTTTTCAGTTTCCTTGCGTTCATGACTCTTTTCCAACTGTTATTTGGCTCATGTTATGTATATTTCGAATTTTTAGAACATTTGTTGTCTTTGCTTATGAAAACGTAGATGTTTAAATAATGAATGGTTTGAAACTGTGACTAGGTCAAGAAAACTTTCACAGAACTTCACATCGAGTTAACTTTGAAATCACGGTAATGTTGTGAAATATTGAAAAATTATCACATTAAATTGGATATTTTGATCCAAATTCTTTAGTGCAGTCATTTTTATACAATGCATGAAATATTTTTGACCGTTTGCGAGATCCAAATTTTTAAGTGCAGTCATTTTAGTGATAAAATATTTTTGACCGTTTGCGAGATCTGACTAAAAAGGGGAAACCTGTTTAAAAGGTTGATCATAAAGTATTGAGCAAAACATAACTACTACACTTCCAATCATCTCAGATCGTCATTTTTGCGGTAGATTTTTGCTCCGACCGCAAATCATATTCAAAAAAATCTCGTTAA